GCCGTAATAGATGTGAAAATTATTGATAGTTTGTCTGCATAGTTGAGCCTTTACTTTAGAGTCTCTTATAGAGCCAGAATAAACTATTTTGCAACCACCCTGGGACTGCAACGCCATGTTCTCAAAGCTTTACTGTTTCTGAATCGCACACCTCGCTAGCGAACGATGCGCAGCGCTTCGGTGCTGGGTCTCTTCCTGCGTGAACCGGGCGGAATGAAGAGCGAGAAGGCGGCGCCAATGACAGCAGGCCCGCCTGGCAGGCTCAGCCGCGCTCGGCTCACAGGAAACCCCACGCGCGCGGCGAGGGTCTCCCTTGCGAGGTGTGAGCTAAGTCTCGGGTCCCCTTCTCTGTCCGCTGACACGCACCGCCCCTGTACAGCCGATCTCACCAAACTGGATTCCACCATCAAGGGTTACACGGCCACTGTAGTATGGATTTCGAGTCTTCACCCCAAATTGTTTACTCGGATGTTGAGAATAAAAAAGCCATGGCTCCTTCGCATTGGCCCATTGCAGCGACCCGAGCGATGGAGGGAACGGGCTTACCTTGGGTTCCGGGGTCTCTGGCCGACTCCACCCAGACTGTCCCCGGAGCTGGGCTTCCCGGTGGCTGGCAGCGGGGGATGGGGAGCAAGGCCGCCTCTCTGCACCCCGAAGCTGCGCAGTGGCCCGCAGCACGCGGAAGCTGCGGCTGCCCGAGTGGGAGGAGGGGAAGGGCCCGACGCGGAGCTTCTCCTTAGAGTCCAAGTTTAGACCGTGTTTTAAGGGTAGCACCAGAAGGGCTCAGCGTCTCCGTAGGCTCTCCTCCCGCCGCCGCCGCCGCGTCTTCAGCGAGCGCACGCGGGAGCAGTGTAAGTCCGCCTGGGGTCACGCCTCCGCGCACCCCTGCTGGCTCCTGCGCCGCGCGCCCTGCGGATCCGGGTCCGATCCTGGTCCTGCTTGGCAGTTTTTCTTTTTCATTCTGTCCGCGATGTATCAGTGAAGTGTTTCTCTTTTATTTATGGACTGCTTTGTAACATTATTTTTTAACTTTTAAACTTTTTTTTAAACTTTAAACAGCTCTCATGTCATTTATCTCCTTTGTAGGAAAACTCAGCTATGAAGGCACTTGCCTAAAGGGACTCACTGTGTTGTCAACTGGTTCATAGTTTGAACTTTGTTAACTATAACTCAGGCATTGTAAGGGTGCGCTGAGGTTATAGGACATGAAATATTTTCAGAAATATGGAGGCATACTGAGAAAAAGGCAAGTCTGTATAATGAGAATTCTAGGACTTATTACCTTCATCAAATATATACATATCTATATTAAATATACGTATTACATATACATATGTAATTATACATAATGCATATGTAAATGTACATACATGCGTAACCTTGTGTGTGGATAACAACAGATAAACTTCGAGTAGGACACCAATTTCGTGTGAATGGAGGTACCTTAATGGAGGTACTCATTTTAAAATGTTTATATATTTATTTTTAAAGTCTCTGGAAACTTAGAGGCATAAGGAATGAAATATGAACATGACATGTAAAATTGTTTTCTGTCACTGCAGCATATCAACTTTCCTTATATTTTCAGTGCATATTAGGTAATTACATGTTCTGAGCACTGAATTAGATTCTGGTTATGGATTTTCAGTAAATGTCATGTGCCTTTTGGAAATCCTAGCATGATGGGAAAAGAAAGAAAAGAAAAGAAAAGAAATACATGCATATGATTAAAATACATAGTCCCAAAGTGTGTTGTCAATCAACAATCGTGTTCTAAAGGGTTAGCATTTGAACTCAGTTTTGTTTGTTGAATATTAATTTATTAGAATACCTGCACCAGAGGTGATAAAAGTCACAGTCCTGGCAATACTCCCATTAAAAAGGCAGGCCTTTGCCTAGTGTCTGGTGTCCTAAGCTCATGGACGGTATCTGACATACACAGCCTCTCAGAATTTAACTTTCAAACTTCACTTTCTGGAGGTACAATGATGGACAACCTTGTGAGATGAGGTGTCCAGGAATTTCCACGAGGTGTATCTTGGATAATTTTATCAGTTTTGTAGTTTACTTAGTATAGCAATCCACTCCACTATTTCCCCATACTGCTTGTTAGTCCTTTAATTTGTAGTTTGAGGTAATGATAGTTTTGTTGGTTTTCTTTTGTCTTGATATTATCCTAAAGATCTGAGAAATGCTCTGAAAGATAGGACATTGCGCTTATAGTGGAACAAAAACTAGAGTCTGAGTTTTTTGTTTAGTGTGTGTAATATCTTACTTTGACACTTTGGTCAGAATTTAAAATAGAAAGCATGTCTGCCAGATGCTTCTTGTCAATTCAGTTGATGGGGATATATTTATCACTGTTGTGAAATTTGAATATATATTTTCTCTAATTAAATAAGGTTGGGAAGAAATTGCTGTGATGTTTTAAGGCCAAAATTTACTGAACCATGAAGTTAGTGGGTATCTCTGTGTATGTTTGCATAGTTGTGTGTACATGTGTCATATGCTGTAAGCTTTTAACTGATGTTAAAAGGAAGTATGTTATTAGTTGAAAAAAACAAGATTAACGTAAGGAAGTATTTATCACAGACAGACAGACAGACAGACAGAAGAGTGCACAAATGCAAAGAAGACCAGTGATTATATGTGCTTGTCAAATAAAGGTTAGAAAGAGCTGCAGGGACTCCTCAGCAACCTGCAAGTGAAGACCCTAAACGCCTGCTGGGGCATCTGGGGGCTCTGAGGGAGATCGCTACTGTCTTTGTGAAACAAGACAGTGAGACTCCTTAGAACTAAGCCAAGATGGGGAGGTTGTTCTCTTCTGCCTTATTTTCAGTCCTACAGCTCTTTTCTGGAAATGTCCATTTAAAATATTAGCTTAAAGTCAAGGTTTCTTTATGCTCCATGGATTTCATGGCACCTTGAATCTCTTGTTTTTGTGTTACCCTTTATTACTGTAACGTTTTGAGCTGTCAAGACTTTGTTGCTTTCTAGGACTGCTGTGCTTTCTACGACTCTTTCACCTATAATAAATTAATCTTTTAAAACTCCAAGAGCATGTAGTAAGTGCCACATATTATGGAAATGCTTTGGTTTTATTGCTAAACTGATTTAAAACATACAGATATAGGCTGTATCTAAACAATTGGGTTGTATAAATGTACATAGTAATTTTACAAAATTTATAGTTAATCTTTGCCCTTTTCTCTTTTTGCTTTGTTTTAGTTTTTAGTATATTTACCTTAAGAAGAGTAGTCAGGAATTTTGACATTTTGTATAATTTTTAAAATTTAGCATTTACAAAGATTTTCTCTTTTATTATCTCAGATATGTAAAATGTACTCTTATCTCAGAATACATTGTGAAAAAGTTCATTTCAGTCGTTCACTGATATGGCTGCAGACCTAAGTCCTATTTCTTTGGCACTTTGAGTAAATCCTTCCTTGAATATAGGAAAAAAGTTTCATTAAAATAGTCCCAAACCCTATGTATTTATCTCATCCTTAAAATACTAGTAAAGTTATAGGTTTGAGAAGGTACATGTTTAAACAACAGAACTGTAAATGTAGAGTGTTCATTTGGTGGCATTTAGTGTTCATCGCCTGCCTGGTTTCCCCATTCCTTCCTCCATCCTTCTTCCCTCTTTCTTCCCATCCTTAATTATAGGCCCAGTTGCTTGAGATTCTCATAAAGCCGACAGTCATCTGAGAATCGTTTGTGCATGGGGGCAAGGCTCATTGCATGTTGGGATGAATTTTCAGGGAGCAACAATTTAACTTAAAAGAAAATTTACAATTCTTTTACCACAAATAGAAACTAGATTGTTAGTCTCTAAAGCATATTTAATTATAGTCTAATGAAGTTAGGAATTATGCACAGAAAGGGTGCAAGCACAAATTTAAGTATATGTGTTCTAGCCATGAACTTTTTAAACTGGATATAAAAATAGCATTCAGCTCATTTAATAGCCACTCAGTTTTCTAGACTGTATATGAAAAGTAGATACTGCTGTGTTTGCGAGCAGTACTTTGGATGTAAAATGTTGGCTTTTAGAGACAGTGGTAGTAAATTTAATAGTTACTTAGAAAATTAATGCATTAAAGTATTAGATGCCAAAATATAAGCCACTTTTGTACGTATAAATATGTAGATTATTGGAGGAAAACTGAAAGAGTATGAAGCTAGCCTAGTTTAAAAACAAATATTTGGAAATAGTTTATGAATTTAATTTTAATATTTAATATTCATCATTCTCTTGATAGTAAGAGTATGTAAGAGTTACACTAGAATTAAGTGTGGCATATCTGCTATGACTTTACTTTCTGTGTTCCGGATGCAGTTGCTTAAGACTTTTAAAAATTGGTAAGAAATCATATTAGAAGTTAAATAAAAGACAGTTTTTTTTTTTTTTTTAAATGTACTTGCTACAGGCTCTCACTATGCAGCTCGGACTCTTGCCAATCATCTTGTCTCAGCCGCCCTAGCACTGGGACTGCAGGTGTGCATCACCATGCCTGGATACAGTAGCAGGCTCAGTGCACGCGGGGGCAGGGCCAGCTAGGCACGTGGTACTCGGGACTGCACCTGGATCCTTGCACTTGCCTAGGCAGGCACTTAGACCAACGAGCTATCTACGTGGCCCTAGAACCTGAAATTTATTCTTGCTGCAATAAGCTCATACTTGATAATTTCTTGGTAAATGGAACCTTAACTCAGCTTTATTATGATTTTTGCATTCCGAAAGGGTTGGTGATTAACATTTTGGTAAATAGATTTATACAGACTAGTTGTGTATCTTTTCAGGTACAAAGACAGTGAGGTGTTTTTTTTTCAATAAAATTAAATCACCATTCTGTATAAATTCTGAAATAAACAATACTGGACTTATTGTATATTTAACTTGTTTGGGGCAAAATTTGAAGAATGAAGTCTTGTCTTGCCATGACTTCTGCAATGCGTGATCTCAGTGTGTGCCTCTGACTGTGTTTTCGCTGCAGGAGTACAGAATCCCCAGCATGAACGAGTGATCACTGTGGCCTCTAACGGGACGATCCACAGCCCCAGGTTTCCCCACGCCTACCCGCGGAACACGGTCTTGGTGTGGAGATTAGTAGCAGTGCAGGAGAATGTGTGGATACAGCTTACATTTGATGAGCGGTTTGGGCTGGAGGACCCAGAAGATGACATATGCAAGTAAGTTCTCCCCCTGGGAATCCCTGCAGATGGGCGCCGCTGTTGCCATCCCGGCCGCTTCGTTGACATTATGTTCAGTAGCATCTTCTTTTTGTTTCTCGGGTGGTCTAAGAACTAATGATCTTATTTAAATTCCATTCCATTTAAGTTCTTTATGTTACAGCAGAAGGCTCAGATATATATGCAATGTTGTCTGATTTTTTGCAATCACTTAGATAATTTTTGCTGATACATATCTATCGTGTATATTATGTAGATACACGTACACCCATACACACACACACACACACACACACACACACACACACACTCACTCACACATGAACAAAAGGTTTAAATATTTCATTGCAAGGAAGAAATGTATTCTGAGAGCGCAACTGTGAATTCGGGCTACTTGCCAGATAGGACTTCCCTTCACGTCGCTGGCAGCATCATGAGCCAGAACCCGCTGGAATGCTTCGCCCAGTGGAGGGCCACCTATCACAGGTCACACAAATAGCACTCTTTACCTCCTCTGTGGACACGCTGCTCAAGGTCAGGCCTCTTGGAGATTTCTCTCTTCATGGTGTTTATGTGCTAAGAAAATACTTCACTTTCACTTCTTTGCAGGGTTATTTGGTCTTTGATGTATACATAAATATTTCAGTGCAGATGAGATAAACTGTCCCTACTGTCACCACACTTCTTATCTTTCCCATCCATTTGCTTTCTTCACGATTTTTTCCTTCTGTGATTATGCATGTCCTATTGTTTTTGTTTCCCTCACCTCGCTGACTTCAGGCCTTGGAAAGCTGGAGCTAGCTTCCATACTCCCAAAAGTCTCTTACTCAAGCCCAGTATGGTAGCACGTGGCTATAATCCCAGCTTTCTTTCCTTTTTTTTTTTTTTTTGAATCCCAGCTTTCTGAGGAAGGAGTACCTCAGCTTTGAGCCCAGCCTGTGCAATTTAAACTGTTGTTGAGATTCTGCCCCAAAATTTAAAATGCAAAGAAAGAAAAGGAATTAGGGAGTTAGCTTGCCAAGTCTAACAATGTTTTATTTTTTCAAAATTAATTTATGTTGTTTCTTATAACTTAGATCATTTATGCTCTTTGATATCTAGTATTCCGCTCTGTACCTTGCCATTCTTTTAAGTCTCTTTTTCAATGTATTTTAGTACAGCGACTATGGCTTTAGGCCTCTTCTTTTCAACAGTCCTTAGCTTCCTTGATTCCTTTGTGAACAAGCGCAAGAAAGCCAAGGAGATATCCAGGGATGGTGAGATGGCCATGTGCAGGTAGAATGTCTTCAGTGCTACTAGCTGGAGTCAAGGGAGTCGCTATAACCAGTTGAGTTACACCAGAACATACCAACAATTCTGTTGTGCAGCGCTGTCAGCACATTTCGATTTTGGTGATGTGTGTGAATTGAAGCTTATCATTAATTCCAAAGATGAGAGCTACTCGGGTTTACCACAGCCACGACTACTTCCTTTTGTGTGCGACAGGCACTCATGTCATTCTTGTTGGTTTGATCATCTGTTGTGCCAATAGGACTTTGCCTTCCACGTTTAAATTCTTTTTTTTCCATAATTTATGGAGAGACAAATAGCAATGGGACAGTTTCAAATCAAATTAGTAGGACAGTTTCAATAATTAACACATTGCATACTGTCTTCCTAGTGGTTATTTGTTGTATGAGATGCAGACATGATATCCTATTTACAAACACTATTAGAACAAACACTTCTATTCACTGAATTAAGAGAATGTATCTGTGAGCCAGGAAGGGGAGATGCCTCAGTAGAATAAGCACTTCCCTGGCAAGTGCAAGGGCCTGAGTTCAATCCCCGGTTCCAAAGAGATAGATAGATAGATAGATAGATAGATAGATAGATAGATAGATAGATAGATAGATAGAATGTAGTTGTATATCATTTTGAATGCACAGAAACAAAATGGTCGTTCATCTATAGCCCCTTTTTTGTTTAGTTCTGTAACTTAAATATTATAGGTGTGTTTACTCAGCAAAATATTCCAAAATATTTCAGTAATCCATAATAGTATTGGGTCTTCTACATGACTGGCAATGTCAGAAGTTGTTGACCTGAGTCCCCTACAGCTTAACATAACACCATGGCTTTATACTTTCCTGCTGGATGGTTAAGACCAAGATAAAGCAAGACCTATGTAACAAGAATTGTAGCTTTTGGATCTGATAAGGTCAGTCAAATACCCTCAGGATTTATCCTGAAACCCTGTACAGCACTTTGTAGATTCTTTGTCAGTTGTCAGCCATGTGGATGAGTCACGGCCATTGCTTGACCAATTTGCTCTCTGTGAAAGCCTGGGAGAATGTTTTCTCTCCATGTGACTCTTCTTAGGCACACTCTACATCATCGATCACTTTCTTCTGTGGCCCCATAATCTCCTTGATCAGAAACTTTGGGATACACATGTTTAAATTCTTGACCTGTTGGATTGCGTGGGCGCTGCGGGTTTACTTCGGGGCATGCAGAGGTAGCTCATGGTCACTGACGGAGTTTTCACCTGTGCAGAGGGATGTGGCAGGCAGCTGCCCCCACGTGGGGCTGTTGCCTGAGCTCTGGTATCGCTGGGCCCCGTCTGTTCCTCTCCTTTGTCAGTTCTGTCCACTGATGCTGAAGGACTCTCTTTCCCTGTGGTATTATTGAGGCCTGTGTTGGAGAAGTCTCGACTCACTGTCTTCTCCTGAGGGAAAGCCTCAGCTATTTTGCCTTTTTAATATATTTGTTCAATTTAAATTGTAAAGCCCTTTGTAAACCATGACAGTTTTTTATCCCAAGATGTTTTGGTGTTCAAGAGCTTATTGAACAATATAGTGACTTTTTTTTTTTTTAAAGCATTATGATATTAAAAGACACACGACCAACAAGCCTCCCTAAAGCTTTCCCCCCACCATGAACATGCTCAATCTTGTCACTTCCAGAAGCAGTTCCGCAGGTCCCTTCAATGATGTCTTCACATGGAGTGATCAAGAACAGGGAGAATGCTGCTGTCAGCTGCCAGCCAGGCTGAGGCAGCCTCCTAGGAGTACGCAGCGTGTCCTCACCCACCCACTCGGCAGGCCTGGCACTGTGTGCGTGCCCTCACTCAGCTGCAAAGGCGAGACGGCAGGGAGCAGCAGACACTGGGAGTGAATTCAGGAGAGCCAGGCTGCCTCACAGGGCACTTGCGGACACTCCGGGAAGGGCAGCTTCAGAACTGCTTCAGAGAGTGGCAGCAAGAGGGACAGGTGCATTCAGCATGACAGGAGGGCTTCAAGGGCTAGGCGTGTGTCGTTTATTCTGATATAAACTGTAAAATATTAATACTTTTCTTCAATCCCACCTCACATAGATCATATTGAGGAAAATTGATTCCTTATAATGTTGCCTTGTGTCCTGGGCACTTTGCTTCCCCATCCACTGCAAACTTCTTTTATACCTGTATAGATTTGAATTTCCCTTGTGAAAATACTACAACTCTGTATTTCTTATAGATTATTTATAAACATCTTTAAAAAACTATGTTTCCTGATTATATGTTGCTAATGTACAGAGGTGTGAGCAATTTTTGTGTTAATCATTTTTATCTGGCACATTTGTTAAGCTTTTTTGTCTATTCTCATAGCTCTGGCAATTAGTTTGGATTTATAAAAAAAATTGTTTGTGGAAAATATTTTTCTCCTCCATTCAATTCTTTGTTTTTTCCCTTCTTAAGCTATTGATCTTATTTGCCCATGTCTTTGACTTATGATTTTAGGGAATGTACCATTTTAAAAATGACAAATTTTAGAATAGTTTTCAGCTTGCAGAGTGGATCAGAGGGTACAAAATGCAGCCTTGTACGTGGAGACCTCTGTGTCAGTCTCTTACAAGAGGACAGCACCCTGCAGGAGGAATAAGGTGACATCCCCACTCTCCTGTTCTCTATGCCAAGGCCCTCCCTTCCAGGCAGCAGCGTTCCCACTTTCTGTCATTCCCTGCCCTTCCACGAGATGCAGGTTACATTTCCTGTAAAATTTTAAGCTCTGGGGATCTGTAACTGTTCTCTTTCTCTTGTTTCTGCCTCTCAGATATGTGGATCAGTAGAGAGTAAAGTAACAGGTTTCTTCCCATCTAAGTCTTCTGCACGTATGTTAGTTAATGAACACATGTCCAACGTCACCTGGCTTAGCTCCATGAGCATTTGATTCTGTTTGGTTTTGGCTTATGCCCAATATTAACGCAGCACATCTACTAGCACTGACTGTAGTCTGCCGGCCTTCCTTACCTGATTTTATGCATATTAGAATGCACATTGGATCGTATCTTTGCAGTTTCTCTGTGGAGAAAATTAGGACTATTTGGCACCTATTCTATTACTTGCTTTGTAACTTCCATTTGTGTTTATTTTTCTGTTTATTCAGATTCTTTTCTCATATACCTTTCATTTTTCATCCTATTCCTCTTTTTTTACTTATGTTTTTAATTTTTTTTTTATTTTAGGGAAAGATCTGCAGAGTGTTTTTTTTGTATTTTAGGGATCAGATGCATAGTGATCCACCTGTTTACAGCCTCCCAAGAGCCGAGATTATGGGCGCGTGCCACCATGCACAGTCTCAATTGCAGTCTCAGTGTGCCGCGGGGATGGTGCCGGCACAGCAGGCCCCTGGATCCATCCCTGGCCCCTGTGCCTGCTTGCAGGTGCTTCAATCCGCTGAGCTACTTAGCTGGCCCTCTTTCTTACTACTTTAAAAAGAAGGTGCACATCAATTTCTGTGCTAAGGAGTACTGATAAGAAACGCACTCTTACACACACGTGAAGCCACTAGGTGCTTGGCAAAGAGCTCAGTAAGCCAGCCAGCAGGAAGAAGGATGGAGACAAGGAGTGGATGCCGGGAGTGGGAGGGGAAATGAAGGCGGAGACGCCTCCCACGTGTGTCCCTGCTCCCCAGTGAGTGCAATCTCTTGTACTGCAAGCATATATACTTCCGGGGCAACTCGGTCCCAGTGTGTGAGCA